GAAAAAGCAGTGAAAACTGGAAGAAAAGTTGAGACAATATTAGGAAAACGGTGTACAAGCTAGGAAATGCTTGTAACAACTAGAGGAAACGATGTAGAAAACAGTACAACATGGAGGACACGCGTGAACATGCTAGGAGGCATGTAACATGTTAGAAAAATTACGAAAGCCAGCTAGCTGGCTAGTTGCTGTTTGCGAACGAAGTGAGAATAGGGGGTGTGGGGGGGGTGGTTGCCGAAAGGGAACGAAATCTCGCCGTGCCCCTGTGTTGAGCGCCAGAAAACGGAGCATTTTGCTGGATTATGTACCACTAGGTAATTTGCTGACGGTGGGGTATCGATTCCCCCTAGGTCCGCCTTTTTGGTGGCCGGAGAGACCATGAGGATGTATTGGAAAATACAATGAAACTGCAGGAAAACATGATAACGATCAGAGGAAATCGTACAAAATCCCCTGGAAAACGGACGAAAACGGAGCGAATGCCAGGAACAAACCATGGAAAATCCCTTGGAAAATGGAGGAAACCGGAGCGAATGCTAGGCGCAAACCATGACGATGCAGTAAACATGCTGGAAAAATACAGTGAAAGTGCAGGAAAATGTGATAACAACGAGAGGAAAGGGTGCAAAAAGGATCGGAAAATGAAGGAGTCAGGTAAAACTCTTGGATTAATATTAATATTGAAAAGGTATGAAAATGCAGGAAACCAGAGGAAATGGTGCAAACACCTATGGAGGAAAGAGGTGAAAGTGATAGGAAACATGTAGTAAAAAAATGCTGGACAAAACATATTGAAAACCCACGAAGAGGATGTATTGGAAAATACAATGAAACTTGAGGAAAGCATGATAACGATCAGAGGAAAATGCTAGGAACAAACCATGCAAAATCTGTTGGAACATGGAGGAAACCGGAGTGAGTGCTAGGAACAAACTATGATGATGCAGTAAACATGTTGGAAAAAGACAGTGAAAGTGCAGGAAAATGCGATAACAACCAGAGGAAATGGTGCAAAAACGATCGGAAAAATCAAGGAGACGGGTAAAACTCTTGGACAAATACATTGAAAATGCAGCAAACCAGAGGAAATGGTGCAAAAAGGAGACGGGTAAAAATCTTGGAAAAATAGATTAAAAATGCATGAATAGACTGAAAACCCACGAAGAGGATATAGAAACTGCAGGAAAACATGATAACAATCAGAGGAAATCGTGCAAAATCCACTGGAAAATGCTGGAAAGATACAGTGAAGGAAAATGTGATAACAACCTGGCAGGAAAATGTGATAACAACCAGAATAAAGGGTGCAAAATCTGTTGGAACATGGAGGAAACCGGAGCGACTGCTAGGAACAAACTATGACGATGCAGTAAACATGCTGGAAAAATACAGTGAAAGTGCAGGAAAATGCGATAACAACCAGAGGAAATGGTGCAAAAACGATCGGAAACTGAAGGAGACGGGTAAAACTCTTGGAAAAATATATTGAAAATGCATGAAATGCAGGAAACGAGAGGAAATGGTACAAAAAACCATAGAGGAAAGCGGTGAAAATGGTAGGAAGCATGTAATAAAAAAAGCTGGACAAAACACAGTGAAAATCTACAAAAGAGAAGAAAGTAACCACAGGAAACGGTAGAAAAAGCAGTGGAAACTGGAAGAAAAGTTGTGACAATATTAGGAAAACGGTGTACAAGCTAGGAAATGCTTGTAACAACTAGCGGAAACGATGTAGAAAACAGTACAACATGGAGGACACGCGTGAACATGCTAGGAGGCATGTAACATGTTAGAAAAATACAGTGAAAACCTAGGAACATGTTATAACTAAAAATGCTTTTAAAATATAGTGAAAACCAAGACAATGTTAACGAGCGGAAACGTTGAGCAGGAAATCCGATTTGGTTTCTGTAGATAATGTTAGATGATGAGCAATGTAGTTTGGTGATAGGAAATAGTGGCTGACTCGCGTACAAGACATTGCCATGAAACCTTGGAGCAAGATGCGGATGGTATAGGAAAAAAGATGTATGAGTTGTAAGATTTTAAGAGTTGCATGGGAAAATTGGTTTCATGGTAATCTGTGTGAAGTTAGAAAAGTGTGATTTCGTTCACAGAGTAAGAAAAATAAATACAATCTGCAGATTAGAGTATTTATAATGCTTAAAGCTGTTTGACGTTTTTTGGTGCCTCCCTGATTCTGGTAGTTTTGTGATAAGAACTACAAAAACGATCTACTGGTAAACGGAAGGAATAGTCTTTCCGGTTTAGAACTGAGTCGACTGTCAAGTGATGCATAGGCTCCAGGCCTCTGGTTATTGCCACAAAGCATTGGAATGAAGATTGCGCCCAGGAGCCACCTAGGTTAGGAGACAAATGCTGTAATATCATTGTAAGAGGCCGTACTGAGAAGGCTGAAACAGAACTAAAAGTGAATCTTGTACTAAAACATCGAGAAAGAATTTGAATCTTCTAATGGCAATGACGGGAATGATATGCATCTGTACGTCCGTGATAGTATGTGTGCCTTTTAAAAGGGATGTTTGGCGAGTGTGATAGCTGAGAAGATTTTCCGGGATGCCAAACAATTATCTCTATCGATGTCAGGGATGATGCTATTCCGCGACATTTCCTGTAAAATACCTATTTTCCAGACCCTTGGGGGGTGGGGGGGGGTACCCAGGTCTGTAAATGGCCTAAATATATATACTTTTGATTTGGACTGCATGTTCGCCACTGTTCTATATTTCCCGTGGGTTTTGCATTGTTTTCCTCGATTTTCATTCGTTCTTATACCCTTTCTTACGTATGTTATAATATTGTCTTGGGTTTGCACTGCCCATTTTGCGAGTAGAGCTGTGTTTTGATTTCTCACCGTACGGCCAAAATGTTGCGGAACTTCGCGGAGAAGCATGGACCACGATTCTGGGGAGAAAACAATTTAGACTGTGAGAGGTCACATGACCACTGTTCACACAAAAAAGCGGGTATTATTTATCTACAATAGGTGGGAGCAAACTTGCGCAGTTTTAAGATAAATGAGCAACCAAAGGCGGATTTACGGAACTTGAGATAGAACTTTTCACAATGCCGCAGTACATTGTAGGAAACATATTTGGATATAGAAGTTACAAAATCGCGGAGTTTACCCTAAAAAGGTCCATTTAATGATTGGAAAATTATGACCCGATAGCAATTGTTGATGTTGGGGCGCTTCATGTTTGAACCATGCCATATGGATGAGGTGGAGTTTCACGCGCCCCCGCGCGAGTCAAAAAGCAAGCGCTGGCTTTCGTTCCACCCCTTCTCAGGTTTTTTTGCTTTGCCTGCTTTAAATACTTGATTTTCATGTAAGATGCATTTTGCACAGTATTTACATCCCTGAGTATCACATGACCAACCTTCTCTTGAAAACTTGCAACGTAACATGTGAGAAGAGGTGCTTGCATTCTGCTTTGGGGGGAGGCGCTGCGCCCTCCCCAATCCCCCCCTCCCGCTTTTTTTAATTTAAACTTAAACCCAAGTTACATTAGTTGGTTTTTGCGAACTAACCTTCTCTGGAAAGCTGACAGGATTACATGTGATAGATAGATAGATAGATAGATAGATAGATAGATAGATAGATAGATAGCTGGATAGATAGATAGCTTGGTAGATAGATAGCTAGATAGATAGATAGCCAGCTAGATAGATAGATAGCTAGAGAGATAGATAGCTAGATACCTCGATAGATAGATGGCTAGATAGATAGCTAGATAGATAGATGGCTAGATAGATAGCTAGATAGATAGATAGCTAGCTAGAGATAGCTAGATAGATAGCTAGATAGAATTAGCTAGCTAGATAGATAAAGAGGTAGCTAGATAGATAGCTAGATAGATAGATAGATAGATAGATAGCTAAATAGATAGGTAGATAGTTAGCTAGATAGATAGCTAGATAGATAGCTCGATAGCTAGATAGCTGGATAGACAGCTGGATGGCTAGATAGATAGATAGCTAGATAGATAGAAAGCTAGATAGCTAGATAGATAGTTAGCTAGATAGCTCGATAGCTAGATAGCTGGATAGACAGCTGGATGGCTAGATAGATAGATAGCTAGATAGATAGAAAGCTAGATAGCTAGATAGCTAGATAGATAGTTAGCTTGATAGCTAGATAGGTAGATAGCTAGCAAGATAGCTAGCTAGATAGGTAGATAGATAGCTAGATAGATAGATAGCTTGCTAGATAGATAGCTTGCTAGATAGATAGCTAGCTTGCTAGATAGATAGCTAGCTAGATAGCTAGATAGCTAGCTAGCTGGATAGATAGCTAGCGCCCTCCCTCAATCCCCCCCACCCGCTTTTTATCTAATCCCAAGCTTCCGCATCTGTAAATATTTGGGTGAACATGCTCACATGTAGAACATCCCATGCAAAATGGAAGGTGAACATGCCAAAATGTGGCAAATACCATACAAAATGGAAGGTGAACATGCCCACATGTAGGAAATCCCATGCAAAATGGAAGGTGAACATGCCAAAATGTGGCAAATACCATACAAAATGGAAGGTGAACATGCCCACATGTAGTAAATCCCATGCAAAATGGAAGGTGAACATGCCCAAATGTGGCAAATACCATGCAAAATGACAAATTCAAGTTCCAAACCGTTGCAAACACTAGGCAAATGGTACCAGCCAAGAAATCCAAAAAAAAATCCCAAACCTGCTCAAAAAAAAATTCCTAAAACTATTTCACACCCATATTAGTAGCGACCTCACAACATTAGGTAAGCAGTTGTAAGTAGAACTGCCCCAAAAGGGGCTTGAATCATTCCAGGATTTACATAGAATTGCTGAGTGAAATCGTGAGCAGTTGGTGTCGGCCTTGGGAGTGTAGTTCCAGTAAAAAGTGGTTCTGTAACCACAGTAATGGGGGTCACATCCAAACTTATGGGAAATTTTAGATCCAATGGTTATGGCATGTTATGGCCATTCACCCCTGGGCACTGCAGGAAGATCCCCAACACCATCAAGAAGCTGCGCACCACCTTCAAGGCCCGAAAACTCTGTGCTGAAGACAGGGTGAGTCTTAAGCCACTGAACTCCAAGTGGATTTGATTGTGATTTTTACAGATTTTGTGTTGTGTACCTCCAAATGGATGGTTCATGAATGTTCTTGATGCGTTCTTGGCTCAAACAGGAAGCTGGGGATCCAGCCAAATCTAACCACTAATTGGGATGCCACACCCCAAATTTGGTGCTTTGAGACTTGAACTATGGGTGGACAGGGGTCCATCATTTTTTGATAACCAAAAATCAAGCAGGGGCCTCAAGTTTGGGAATTTAAATTGCATAGTTGAATCATTGCGACCAATTCATATCCGCAAGTAACACTATAACATTTCAGCAGTCAATTCCATTTTCTGATAAATTATACTTTCCAGTCGTTTTGGGGGTTACTATATGCAACCACAAGCTCCAGTGCCAACTGGGAACACCATGCTACGCTGTGCAGGCCAAGCGCCCCAACACCTTCGTTCGATGATCGCAGAAGGCGGTTCGATGCGGTTCGTGCAAAGCGGGAATCAAAAGGAGCTGCTCTGAGCTTGGAGTCACTGCAGTTCAGCTTCACCAGGCACCACCCGGCTCTTTTTTTTGTGGTTTCATGTTGTTTCTTGAGACAAGTTGAGATGAGTTTGTTATTTCCACAGATATTTTGGACGAGTTTCAACGCGCAAAAAGCGAATGAGGTGCTGTTGAGAGACATGTCATTCGACGCCGTTTGGGGCGGAGAAGCAAGCATGGACATACACATGATGAGGCTGCTATGGCTCTGAAATTAAGAGTTTTAAGCCCTGAGAATGAGTATTTGCCACCAGATCAAGATCAAAAATCAAGATGCATCAATGCAACAAGGCGGTCTTCCAGCCAGAATGTCAAGAGGAAATCGCCGAGAAAATTGACTTGCAGGCAAACCCGAGAACCATTTTTAGTACTTCAGGGGTCTTCCGCTTTAGTTTACCATTCTAATAATTGAAGTAATAATTGAAGCATGCTTTATCCCATGCATCCTTGAGATGGGACGACTGTTCCAGTCGCTGGATGCAGGTGTGGCTGCAGTATTGGAACCCCCAAGATCAAGGAATCTGTCGAAATTGATCCATTCTCAGCCCAGGGGCATGGCATCTGCCAAAGCTGGAGGCCTGGAATATGGGAATAGGTCATGAGACCAAATAAACTAGACCCAATACTAGAATAGTGTATCAATAATGTATCAATAATGTATCAATAATAGGTTATCATATTTGTGAGACAGATAATACCTAGTTATAATACGTATAGATACAAATGTGTGATAATATGATATCGATAGTAATTAAAATTAATTATATAGATAATACAATACACCATACTACATAGATAGGATGTAGATATAAAGCAATATAGAATCGAACGAGACTTCTGGCAAGGATAACCCTAGTTGCCAGTTGGGGGACATATGTACATATTAAATAACAAATTTAAATAAATAAATAAAAATAAACATAAATGACTAAATAAATAAATATATGTAATATATATATATATGTATATTGACTATGATGGCTGATCACTTTCCAATTGTGATGGATACTGACATAACTCTTGGCTGCTTTGTCCTTCTTTGTCCTCACGAGTCGCCTTGCAGCCGCAGGTGTCGTTTCAAGATCATCAAGGACAAGCTGCTTCATCAGGAGAATACCATATGAGCCAGAATGGCTACTGGGATCAGAATGGTCAGTGGATTGCTGAGGCGGGACAAAAGGCGACCACAAGGGACCAACAGCCTTGGAGGGGCTTATGGCCTGAAAACAACGCTGGCGCATGTCCCAGTAGTTGCAATTTGTAGGCCAAATGATGCCAAATGTAAATCAGACATCTTTTGTGAATGACATGAAAAACATGTAACATCAACAGCACTGTGAATATTTGGAATCAAAAGCCCAAGTGACAGTGCCGTACCTGAGGCAAGCTTTTGTCAGATTCATGGGTAAATATTTGATCATACATGGGAGGATAGACGTATTTGTTGCAGGGTATGTAAGATTCGCCGATGTGTGGGTTTGTATGAAAATAAGGTTCCCCCAAATCCACTGGTTAATCATCTTCCCACTGTTCCGTATGAACTGGCCGAGATGTTAATAGTCTAACTTCCCAGCGTCCATAGCCAGGCCGAGCATGAAGCGCAGGCGCCGGAGGGTTGGCGGATAAATCTGGATAAATGATGATCGATGCCGGTAACAACGAGGATCAATGATTACTTATCACGAAAGCTAGCGTCAGCTAGCTGGAGTCTTCTTGCTTTAGCAAGTATTGGGGGGGCTGCTCAAGGACATCACGTGATTTTTCACGCGAAAGGGCCCCCCCCCTCCCCCACCACCACCACCACCATCACCACCATCATCATCATCATCATCATCGTCATCATCATCGTCATCATCATCGTCATCATCATCGTCATCATCATCGTCATCGTCCTCTCCATCGTCCTCGTCCTCGTCCGCGTCCTCGTCATCATCATCATCATCATCATCATCACCATCATCATCATCATCATCGTCGTCCTCGTCATCGTCATCGTCATCGTCATCGTCATCATCGTCGTCCTCGTCATCGTCCTCGTCATCGTCATCGTCATCATCATCATTATCATCTATCTATCTATCTATCTATCTATCTATCTATCTATCTATCTATCTATCTATCTATCTATCTATCTATCTATCTATCTATCTATCTATCTATCTATCTATCTATCTATCTATCTATCTATCTATCTATCTATCTATCATCATCGTCATCATCATCGTCATCGTCCTCTCCATCGTCCTCGTCCTCGTCCGCGTCCTCGTCATCATCATCATCATCATCATCATTCATCATTCATCATTCATCATTCACCATTCATCATTCATCATTCATCATTCATCATTCATCATTCATCATTCATCATTCATCATTCATCATTCATCATTCATCATTCATCATTCATCATTCATCATTCATCATCATCATCATCATCATCATCATCATCATCGTTATTCAATTACATTTTATCATTATTGGCAATTATTGTCATTATCACGAAAGCTAGCGTCAGCTCGCTAGAGTCTTCTTGCTTTAGCACGTATTCCGGGGCTCCCCAAGGACATCACGTGATTTTTCCCGCGAAAGGGCCCCCCCCTGCCCCCTCCCCCATATATATCATTGTTATATATCATATATCAATATATCATTGTTGCATCCTCGTTGGGACGAACAATGCCGCGACACGATGATGACAGTCCCTCCGCAACTCACCTCTTCCCTTCCTTCTTTCTCCTACCCCGCTAGCTTTCTTCATCCACCCCCGGCCTCAAGTTGTGGATGATCAATGGTTTGATGATCAATGGTTGATGATCAATGATGAATCATCAATGACAGCCAAGGATTTGGATGATGTTAAGTCAGTTAATGAGGTGAACCCCCAAATATACAACTATAATCAGATATTGTTGGATTATGATTCATAGATATTCATAGTAAGCCATCCCCCAACTGATATGTCATAACTATATCAAGTCAACCGTCCCAACATCCGTCCTTAGACGTTTTGTTCAGGTCGACGCTGTGGCGGAGGCGGAGAATACCCGCTTCGTCACACGGCCAGCAATTCGCTTGCTCCGGTTGTAGGAGTTTGAGTTTGACTCATACTCAGATGTTTGCTTCAAAAATGGAGGTCGTCCCAAAATCAACAAGTGCACAATATCTATGTATAATTGTGTGACATACCCCATATTGTGGCCATGGCTTGAAAAAAAAACTAATGGGCAGATGAACAGTTTGTCATGTTCTTTGGAACTTGTTACCATGCTGGATGGCTAAAACACTGTGAAGTGGGGTATATAAAAGCATCAAAGAAGAGGCTTCATGCCGCGGTTCAGCTTGGCTGGAGTAAATATTCTCTAAACCAGTTGGTTAGTATCCCTACCTGGGTGCGATTTTTCTTGTTTCAGGCAGGTGCATGCGAGCGCGACCAGTCTTGCAACCTTGTGCTTTGCACACCAGGTTGTTGGAACAGCTTCAGAATATTCATTTGGAGGAAGTCTTGCTTTGGACTTTGGACAGCCTTCAAGACTTCCAATTCCCAGATCCAGTACAAGATGTCTCCAGATTATTCTCCAACAAACACTGCAAAATCCAGATATATGGTACATACGTATACATATCACATATCACACACACACATAATTATATATATGTCATTTCCAGAGGTTAGTGCACCACATCCAGATTTGGGAGGACAGCAATCCCCAGAGTTCCCACGGGCCTAGGAGGTGGCATTGGAGGATCCCGCTTCGGTGGTGGAGATTGCCAGTGAGAAGGTGCCGAGCGAACTGCCTGGTTTGTTGGTGGATGGATGTTTCCTAAGTCATGGGGGTACCCCCAAATTCGATCATTTTTTAAATCATGGGATTAGATGTTTAAAGTAGGGGTACCCATTAACTATATAGGTTTCTATACTAAAATAATCTAAAATATGTTTAAATCGTCTTAGACCATGAGTTAGTATTGAAACCTATGGTGACTTGGTGTACCCCCATGACTTAGGAAAGTTCCTTAAATGGCTGTGAATCCTCTCCAATACTCGTATTAGGTGATATAGGTTTTGACACATCACATCCCCATATTTATCATTGGTGAAAGGGGTATAACTACCATTGAATTTTGGAGATCCTAAATATTGGCATCATTGGATTGGTTCAAGCGACAATCCAAAATCTAGAGGAATCATGGTTTTTACACCCCAAATAGTAGGGGTCCGGAACAAAATAATAACTTAAACCAAATCCAATGATTTTTTCCAAAGGACCATGAACGACCTAAAGATGGAGCTACCACTAGCTGAGATTTGACTCGTGTTTGATCATTAAGAAAATGATGTTGAAACATGTTGTAAGACCTATCATCCCAGCTAGGATGCACATATCACTAGTATATGATCAAATAATGTTATGATGATGCGGGATCAGAGATCAGCAATGGAACTAGTTTTCTTCCGCTATTTTGCCTCCGGGTCTCTTTGGTTGGTAATCCTCTGATTTCTCTTTGATCAATGGACATGTGAAGGGCAACTCCCAATGCTTTGCACCTTTTTCTCAGTAACAGCATATCTTCAAACTCGTTTATCTCCATAATGCCCTTTTCGTATCTTTTCGTGGGAAAACAATGGTTTTCTTGCAAGTGCTATCTTAACAATCACCTGCGAATCCAATGATTGGTAGTGCGATGCCTTTTGTGGATTCTTCGCCACGTGTGAATCCTAGCTACAAACAACTGACTTTCCAGTGAATCACCCTGGCAGGCGGGCAAGGCCATTGAGCGGGCCAAAACCATTGCCGGGGATGCTCAGGCGCCGTCCGTGGGATTGCGCTATGTGTCTCTGGGGAAATGATCAATGGATCATGTCCAGGTGGACAATATTGGACAATCAGGGGGAATCAGGATCTTTTTTTGCCTGGGTGATTTGTATGGTCGTTTTTCATAGTTTTTCCATTCCTTTTT